GAGTTCTTCTTCCCAACTGGACGATGCTCATGCCGCTGTGCAAGGAAGACTCAATTCCAGGACAACTGAGGACAAAGGAGGATCCTGGTCCGCTGCTTCGAACAACCGCAACCAATGGCTTGAGATTGATCTGGTCAGTCAGAACATCAATGTGACCCGTATAGCCACTCAAGGAAGACATGATTCCAGCCAGTGGGTGACGAAGTACAAGCTGCAGTACAGTAAAGATGGTGTAAACTTCCAATATTACAAAGAGCCAATGGAAACTGCACATAAGGTGGCACTTATTTGTTCACAGACAAGTTTACTTCAGTTTCCTCTTCAAATTCCCTTTAATCATCTTTATTTGCCAAACACCAAATTTCCGTCGCATCAGTGTATTTTTTCGCCTTTAACCTGTAGTTATGATGCCCTAAAGTCAATACTAAGTTTCGTAACACCTTAGCATACTGATTACAAAGATGAATTGTCTATTAGATAGGTAAAAAGAAACAGATTACTTCTTGTTATAAGGAAAGAGGTGAGACTACTTCACACTTAATATATCGACAGTGGTTTAGCGTGGTGTGTAACCTCATCGACGACGATATTCGTCATTCCAGGGGTCAAAATGTTGATTGTTGATGCTTGATTGTCGATTTGCTTTCTTAACACATATCGACGTCAAACAAAACGATTCTTTCAGTGCGTGACCATAGCGTGACACTTTGACACGAGCTTCTGTTATGCTGAGCTCTTTACTCTAATCGACAACGGCAAATTGGCTGATGAGATTGCGATGTTACTGCCAATTGTGGTAAAATTAGGATTCCACGTGAGTTCGGTAACAAAGCAATACGCTTTTTTCTTAAAAATGCATACTTTATCCTAAATATCACGATTATCGAGATTATCAAGAGTACAATTTATAGCTGAGATGGTACTCCATACTATTTTCAATCTGTAGATTTTTGATGGAAACGTTGAGCAACACGCCGTTGTTTATAATGAACTTGTCCCGCCTATCAAAGCACGTTTCATCCGTTTTCGGCCTGTTGACTGGTATGGTCATATATCAATGAGAGTAGAACTTTATGGATGTCAAGGTTATTTATGATGTGTTTCCTTCCTAAAGACTCTCATTCATTTCATCAAGCGACCAAATAATCGAATTCAGACTTGTTAGGTTTGGTTTAGGATGTCTATGATACCTCCACCTATAGCAAAGGGTGCGAAGTGAATCCGAGATTGTCTTTTTGCCGAGTAAGTCTTGATATCGATGCATTGCAAGGAAGCATATGTATGTTGATACTTGCTAAATGATCAAACATTTCCGTGCAACACCGGCGTTTTCTAGTATAAGGATATGGTATCTCAAAGTGTCTTTTCCACCCTTTTAGATGACCGTCCCTGTGACACATCAGTAGACTGGTGTGGATGGAAAAACGAACGTGGCTGGAAAAGTATCAAACATAAAGATCTTGATCAGGTCTATCAGAATGAAGGTGGCGGTGGTAAAGGTTCGTGATTACTTCTTCTGAAGCTTTATAAGAATTAGATGTCTTTTGTTTTGATAACAAAATATTTTAGTATTTGTAAAAGACATCGAAAAAGAGATATCGATAGCGCTACATTATGTATTATTTTGCTTCCGCTATGTTTTTTCCGTCCAAGGTTTTAGTGACAACAACAACTTCGAGGTCCTTCTCCCTGACAGCGAATATGGTTACATATCATTATCTGATGTGATACTGGATCAATGCTGTTTTACCATTTGCTTCTGGTTGAAAACCGCTAGCAGCGGCTTCTATACAGAATACAATAATGCAGGATCAGCCAAAGAGAACAAGACTCTAGTTTTTGGAATCTATTGTGGAAACAACACATTTTCCCTTCAAAGCGGGAGCGAGAGGAGGTATCAAAGTGGAATCAGTGCAGGGTTGCTTCTTGTCTTAAATTTGATTCACAACCATTGCAATTACCCTAACAGAGATGAAGCCTGAAAATTATAACTCGTTGGCAAGTTAACTGACTAGAACCGCAGAACCTCGTTCTCTCTGTTACTTCATTCAAAGCTTATGAAATGGTGTGTCAGTATTGAGTGTGATATGCTATCTGTAATTACCATTTACCGAATGTTGCAATAAAAAAGAATGAAGAGAAATTATAAATAAGCAAAAGCTAAACATTTTCCACTCAACTAAAAATTTTCATTTGAATTAAACAAAACTTAAAACATAATCAAATAAGTCAAATAGTCAAACAAATCGAATAGGGAAGGAATGGGGAGTTTTCTTTAGGTCAATATGAACAGTGTCCTTCCATCTTCCTGCACAGCGAGCAGTCAATGGACGTTATGGACTCCACCTGGCACCACGTTTGTGTCTCCTGGGATGGGAGAGTTGGGCTACTTGCAGTTTTCAAGGATGGTCATATAAATTTCAAGTTTAATGACTTTATGGGGCCCCTACTTCAGAAGCCGAATGAAGGTAAGTAGAAGACATATACTATTTTTCTTGGGGGCTATGGGTGAGGGACCTTTGGTGCAATATTTTTTTTATTTATTTTTTTTTTCGGATATGAACGGGTTCAACGAGGGAATTAATGCTGGATGATATTCAATTTTAGTTGACAAATTCAGCCGAAAGGCTAAGTTTGAGTTAGGTTTGATAATGGCAATCATTTTGCGAAGTTAACTTATTGTTTGCGGATAAAGCATGAGAGGCCCATGATAAAGGAGGAGCTATTCAACCAAATAACTCAGTCACTTTCACCCTTTGCTCCTATCGACCAGTGAACAACATGCTTTGCATCTTTTGATCCGCTTAAACGAATTTACCCAGAGAAAAATGTGTTTTAATTTGCAAATACAGGAATCGTGACGATTGGTTTTAGGAATATAAATGGAACTGCTTCTACTGTTCTTGGTAAACTGAGTGGCTTCAATATTTGGAGTACCTTGGTCACAACAGAGGAGATACTGCGCATGTCATACGGATGTGGCACGGAAGCTGGCAATGCGATGGCCTGGGGAAAAGTTAGAAATGGGCTGATTGGGGAAGTGGAGATGAAATCACGTCCAACTTGCAACGATGGAAAACGTAAGACATACTTTAATAACTTCATCATTATCAGCGTTGTAAGCCAAACACTAATTTCATTTTTGTTGTTGTTTTGGTTTTCGTTTTAACAATAATCTCTTTATAAACGTGTTTCATTCCATCAATATAAAAGGATAGTTTGATACAAGAGCCATCTTCATGTCTGTTGCTTAATTTTATGATTTGTCTTTTCTTATTTTGTTTTCCATGTGGTTTTTGACATTATTTACTTTTCCGTTCTTTACTCTCTTTAATGGTGGTATCTCCTCGAAGGTAAATCACTAGTGTCAACCAGTAGTCGAACAAAAATCATCTCTATTCAGTTAGTCTAGTTTTCTGTCATGACCTATTCAAACTAATGACGACAAGGAGTTCTTTTGACACAGGATTGCCTCAGTCTTCGGCTGGCAGGAGGTGATTCTGGGTTTTAATGAAATTGCAGCATGATCAGCGCAGAATACTACAAGTCTCTAATATGTTGTGGGTCAAAATGTTTCATCAGCGTTGCTTTGGTCTTTTAAATGAAATTTGAAGGAATGCGCGATCCTTTTTATCACACGCGTGTATCATTTGCCACACTCAAAATTTATGATCAGGATCACAAACATTGTGATTGTATGACCAACAGGTGCCAGGCTTGTGGTAGATACCGTCGATCTGGAGCCAAATGGGACGGCAGTTCTTGTGAGCCAGACATACAATAGATCAAGTGACGGGAAAAGCAGATGCTTGAGGTTTCGCTATATGCTGCAGGGATCTGGAGATAAAACGTTGACAATTTCCCAGAAAACAGGAATTTATCGTGAAATACCCATCTGGACTTGGAAAGGCAACTCTGGCCGGGACTGGATTTATGGTGAAGTTCCGCTGACCTCTACTACGAAGTTTAAGGTAATATCAAAACTGCAGAACTTACTTTAATTTACCATGGCTACCACAGAGCCTTTTGGTGTCCTCGCACTGCAATGATCATGCAGGCCATCAATTTACTCTGGTCATTTAATGGTATTACTGTGAAGGTGAAAAACGTCTTCCACAATACCTAAAGTAAATTAACAAACTTCTTTTCCTTTTTTTAGATTTTGATCAAAGCTCAAAAAAGCAGGGAGAAAGACTTGATTGCTTTAACAGGGATATATGTCAAAGAGGGACTCGATTGCAAACTTAGGCCGCTGTCGGCAAAGCAAGGTAACTCGTTTACATGTACCCTGCCTTGCATTATTACCTTATGTTATATGATCTTTTTATAGTGGCTGATAAAATTGGCTTAAAATTTCAAAAGAGGAAAGACTGCATTACTTTTAGCCCGCTTTCCAAGGATCTTTTCTTTTATAACTCCATCGGAACTAAGTTGACCATTCGTTTGTGCATATATCATCTATCTATATATTTCTATTTACAGCTTGTAATGAGGATTTAACTGATCCATCAGGATATCTCTTTTCACCGGCCTATTCCGGTGATGTTCTTGATAATATCGCTTGCACGTGGTACATTACCGTTCCACGCAATAACAATATTCGCTTGGAATTCCGAGATTTCCGTCTTCCAGACCATCCCACATGCAAGGGCTGTGATCTTCAAATTTTCGATGGAAGTGAAACGTCTGCTCCTGCGATAGGTCGATTCTGCGGATATATGTATCCTCCTATTGTCATTTCTTCATCAAATAATCTCAGGATTGTTCTGCGTTGTGCTGCCAATCCGTACACAGCAAGATTCAAGATTTTGTATAACTCCACGGCTGGTATGAAACGCTACATCTCTTTGACTTTTTATTGCAACCAAGCATTTTTTTTTTTGACCTTCCACTTTCATAGCTCTTATGAAAAATGAGATAAAATAATGGCATGCACATGTCACGTCATAACTTCATGTTATTGTTTACTTTTCAATTCTTTAGCTCACAAGAGTTTAGAGTCGTCCTGCTCACTACAGCAAGGTACACAAAGAATCTTCAGCTAATTTCCGTTCCCTTTTTTCTCCCTTTGAATTTGTGCCTACGTTTTGTGAGACTGTATGAATTATTATCTCATGTACCTCACGGTCGCTAATAACTCCTATTTAAGTCAAGTTTTGTTAGCTGTATAAAAATTAATGAAAAGGAGCTAACTAATTTAGTCTTTCTTCAGCCTTTTGCTCCAAAACTAAAAGTATTTCGGTGCTTCTGTTTTACTTCAACTTGCAAATGATGATCTTAACTTACTCGCCTATCAATCAATGCTAATGACCTGTGTCTTACAATGCGTCCCAGAATGCCCAGCAAGGTGCAAATGTGAAGAGTTTGGTGGACAAGAAGATAAGAAGATACTGGTGACCGGAGAAGACTTACTTAATGTACCGAATCACCTTCCAACAAACGTTGGAGCAGTGTATGTGATATTTGGGGTCCTTTTTATATTTAATGGCCTCTTTGTTTTATCGTCTTTTCTTTCCGAACAACGAGCTGCTAGTTCTTTCCTCCTGTTTCATTAAATAACTGATATTATTTTCGTATGTTTAAAAAGGTTTTTTGGGCAAAATCGGATCTCCCAATTGCGCGAGGAGGACTTCATAAACCTCTTGAAATTAGAATATATGTAAGTAAACCTATTACTTTTGTTTAAGATTGTTCATTACTTTATTGCAGTGACTGTATTAATCTTAATCATTTTTCTGTAGCTAATGAGGATTATGGTTGAGAAAACCATTCGATTTCCTTAACCAACGCCTTGATTGACAAATTTTGGGCGGAAGAAGTTTTCCCAGTACCTTCTGGACTGAGATGAAAACAAACTCAATGTCCTTAATTTGAGCTTAAAGCTGTTGTGTTACCGATTTGTAACAGTTCTCATCTCTCTCTTCCTCTTCCTCAGCGATTTAAGCTTCAATTCCCTGCTTCACGTGGATGAAGACAGCTTTCAAAATGTGACATCCGTCAAGACACTGTAAGTATCAATTGAATAGTCATTTATTTCATAGTGACAGAGCAACTTTTCTGTCACGTAGTCTGGTGCTAAGTCGATGATCACATTTGTCTCAGCAATCGACTTTTCTTTTCTTTTTGTCGCAGGAGACTTGATTTTAACTTTCTTCGAGCTCTTCCTGTTGGGGCCTTGAAGGGACTACCCAATTTACGCGTACTGTGAGTTTCATGTGAACAATGTTATTCTTGTCCTATGTGTCCTCCTTGGGACATAAATGTGCTTAGGTTTAACTTTGCACTTTGGAAAGAGAGAACGAGAGTACGGGGAAAGGGGTTTTATGTTATGACCTCTTTTAAAGTGAATAAAAGAGATTGATTGTTTTATTTCAGTGACGTAGGACGGAACCTTCTACGGATTGTATTCGGCGAGATGCTCGATGGACTTTCGAATTTGGAAGTTTTGTATGTACTCATTTTCACTATTCTGATAGTTTTAGGTCTATGATAATTAGCTTAATCAGCTCACCTCTCTGTTTTGTTTGCAGGAGTTTTCGCTCTAATCAGATCGAGCTGCTGGAATACGGTGCTTTTAAGAACAAAAGCAATATAGTGCACTAAAATGGTCTCCAGCTCACTCAGGTCACACTTGGTCACTCAGTATTTACTAACACCAGTTGATTTTGAATGTCATCGGAAAAAAATCAATGGAAAACATGTGACCGGCCAATAGAACCATGGGCCTGATTTCCTTAAGAGTGGGTAGCTCTATACAATTGATAAATTTATATCTGGTGGATAGCACAGTATGTTTTGTCAACGCTTATACGCTGGACAGCTATTTATCTATTGGATAGCGTTATCCGCCCTTTGAAAAGCTAGGCTCTATTTTTTCTGCCAATCAGCAGATACATGTTTCTTTCTTTTAATTTTTTTTTTATTTTTCATTTTCAAACAATATTATTCTTGTGTACATTTAGGTACCTGCAACATAACAAGCTCAAAGAAGTGTCAAATGGGATGTTCAAAGACCTTATGAATTTGAAAGTATTGTGAGTGAATTTTGATATCATAGTCAGCACAAATCCTATGGAAAGAGACAATAGTATGAGTATATTGCTGTATTTGTTATATGGTTGTTCTATTTAAAACACAAGGACGTCGTA